ACTGCATCTGGCTGCGCCGCTCGTCGCCGTCGCCGCCGCCGTCGCAGTCACCCCGCCTTCCTTCCAGCCCCCCTCTCTTCTCCACCTCCCCCATTCCTTCTCGTCGCTGCCGTCGCAACCGACCGCCGCCGTCGCAGACATCGCCGACGGCTCGCCGCTTCGGCGCGCTGGAGGAGCGCGGACGGCGGGGCACGGAGGAGAAGGTGGGCCCCCCTCTTGCGACGCCATGGCCGCTCCGTCCGCTCGCCGCCCGTGCGCCCGAACGAACCCACGCGCCCAATACAAAAAGGGCTGCGCGCGAGATTCGCCAGGGGTCCCCGAGGGAGGCGCCCGCCAATCAGACCCACCCCCTCCACTTGCTACCCCCCCTACACCAATATGTTTTTGATCGCTGGGGCCCACGGGCAAAATCTCGCAATCCGTCCTGCCGTGGCGCCTAGTCGCGCCTCCGCTGCTTACGGCTGCCGCTCGTCGACCCTCCGCACCTCCGCTTCGCGCCCGTGCCTCGGCGAGCAGGCGGCGCTCCGTCGCCTCCCCCCCCCCCCCCCGCCTCCATCTCCGTCCCCGTCGTCATCAGTATCACCGTCAGCGTCTCCTGACGCGGCGCGGCCAGGGAGCGAACCTGCAACCTGACCTCACCTTCGCCCCTCCCCACTGGTGCCCCGTGGCCCCCTGGGCCCCCTCAGAACGCACCGTCCCAGCTCCGCGCCCCGCCCTCAAACCTACCCCTAAGCTGGCGGGGGGGCCGCGGGCTCCTGGCGACTCGTCTCCTGCGCCTTCTCGCTGAGCATCTGCCTCTGAACCCTCTCCTCCGTCGGCGTATCTAGGGTCTGTCGTGGACGCGAATATCTGCGAACTCTTTTTCAGGCAGCCCATGATCCCGAAGCAACCGTGTACGGATACTTCTAGTGTGCTCCTGTGGCTCCTCTCCGCGCAAGTCCGAAGCGCCAAATTCAAATGCTCGTCAACAAACGTGTCGTATACGGACGGGTTCCCCAAGCGCCAGCTCCTTGGGAGCGAGAGGGTGTTTGTTATTTGTTGTTTGAACTGTGTGCGTGTGTGTGTATGTTCGCGCGCGCGTGTGCGAGCGTGCATGTGTGCGTGCGTGTTGTCTTGGGTACGAGGTTTGAGCATTATGGCGCCATGCTCCGAAGCTTCGTACGTATCACTATATTGCCCCCCCCCCCATTCACCATCAGAAAAACTGAAACGAAACTGCGTTGACATAGGTTCCGTTTGGTGTGGCTGTTTCCCCGCTCAGAAATGTGTCCTGGCAGTGACGTGGCCGAAGGTGTGGAACTTCGGGGTGGGGTGAACCCCCGCTCGCTCCGAGAGCAACAACGTCCGTTGTGCAGCATCCACAAAAGCATTGTACTGGTCGCGGCTGAACTTTGCTGGCGCCCTGTGCATTGTCTGCACCCACGTCACAAGCGCCCTGGCCGCACCCAGTAACTCACCGTGCCTGTAAACGTCGCAGTTTGCATGCTTTTCGAGTTCGTACACTGCGAACTTCAAAAGCACATGCGTCTCGGACGCCTTCAGCTTCAGAATACCACCATGGTGGTCTGGTCCAGTTTCTGCTGGCAACATTTTCGGAGTTATCATGTTTACCCGTGTCTGGTGCGGCACAGCCTTTTGGTCATAGAACACAAACATATCTGCCTCCAGCCGCTTAACCCTATTATCGAGCCTTGTCTGCCACGGATTGCACCACAACGCCCTCATCAATATGGCAGCGACCAACCGCATCATGATGCCAAGGTAGACCGTGTGAAGCGTGTCAATGGCAAGCGATCGAGAAGGTAACGTACACAGCCTAGTATTGAATATAGGGGACCGATGGGACAGTGCATCGATAGGGCGATTGAAACAATCTCTGCGAACCCTCCAGAAGGTTGCATTGAATGGGACTGGTTGTTTATAAAACCCCACGGGTATCATGAGCTCCCGTGAACACTCCAACCGATCCCCCACTAAAAGTCCATGAATGTCCCTGGTCACGATAAGCCCTTTTTTCTCTTGCGCTTGAAGCGCGGCCCAAACGGCAGATCGCATTTCAACAGTGGGTATGTTTAGCACCTTCTCGCACTTACCGCAAGCTATCTCATAGTCGTCGTGGCTTCGGTCGGGCGCCTGAAGGCCGTCATCTGACATAAACCCAGGGTATATCGAATGCATCGAAACCTTCTGAACACTGCATATGGGGCACGGTTGCCAGACCTGCCCCCGCCCAGCCAAACCCAAAGATTTGGAAAACTCCGCCCAGTCCCCCTTGACATACAGAACTACGCATTTAACGCCGAGATCCGCCCCCGCGTCGTCTGGATACAGCTCGGGCGGCCAATGTGAACCGTCGTGCCTCAAGAGGGGAATGCGACCGTCGCACAACGCTTCGAGCTGCCATCTAGCGACCTGCATGATGCCATGAATGGAACAATACCCACCGCACCCACAGCTGCACAACTCGTTGGTGCGCATGAACCCTAGCATGTGTCTCTTATACGTAACCATGTTGACAATGCTCACTTGCAGCAGGCTGTCCGACACCCCCCATGTCGGAGGTACACCATGCACGCTCAATTACTTTTCTACGCAATTTCTACGCGTAGAAATTGCGTAGAAATTACGATAGTCGCTCATCGCACCAACAACTAAGTTACCGCACCCCGCCCGAGATACATCGATGCACATCTCCGTCTGATCTCGTCATGAGATCGCACCTTTTCCCGTCAAGCGTGCATCGCGAAGCTCACTAATCTGACCGCCCAGCGCTAATGGGCGTGTACCGAACCCCGTCCACGTAAAGAGCTAACGGTAGTGGCCACGTACCTGCGTCTCGCACACACGACTCAACGAGCGGGTGCTCTGTGTAGCATGGCAGTGATAACACGCTGTCAGGATCATCACATGGTCCCTGCTCCAAAACTGCTTGCACACTGGAAGAGCTCTTTACCTCGTCGCTGATGGTTCGGTACACTTGCCTGAACACAATGTCCCTTGACCTCAGGTGGGCCTTCTTCCTGACTGTAGCGGGCAGCGTGGCGGAATACAGAGGCCCAGGGCCTGGCAAATGTTTATCTAATCGTTGCTTGTATTTGCCCGTCTGTTTATTCGGTGGCATCGCGAACGTGCGCCACTGCCCCCCCGCAACGTCACAACGGCTCAAGTGAAAGCACAATATGCAGAAATCTTTAGCCGATAACTTCTTGCACGAACCATAGAGTTCCAAGAGGATGTCGAATGCCATCGCACCCGACGCGCGCTTGCGCGCCGCATCCCTGCCGAAGACATATACGTGCTTCCTTTTGGGCTTCGCCATAATGCCTTGACTCGAGATGGCCAATCCGACTACGCGCGCGATACATTGCACTGCGCTGCTGCATGATATAATACACGATGCATACCACACAACATCAGACGCCACGTTGCCCAGACAACTCACGCACAGTTCTCAAAGTGCCGCGCGTGCCCACGAGCGGCACATCGAGCCTACGAGCGGGCGGTGCCTCGCCATGCCTTGCTCGGCATTGCGCTCGCGCCACGGCGCCATGGCAAGCCCATGAGCGCATGCCTACTTGATGACAGAAGTCGGCGGGCCCAGAACTCACGTCGCCACTACCGCCTCGCCTTCACTCGGCGCGGCGAGCACATGCGGAGAAAGTGATGGAGAAGAGTAGCTGTAGACGTGTAGGCATGCAACTGCGGGCAGTGGACGGCCCGTCGCACAGCTCCCATGCCCCCCCTCACAACACCTCCTACCACTGTCCTGCCCCCTCTCAATGCTATGGTCGCTCGAGAAGGGTGGTGGATCATGTAGGGGAGAGGTGCGCGCCTAAGACGGGGGCGTGTATATACACGCGCAAGGGCAGTTCCCCTGGCCCAGGCCTTCAGCCGAGCGCCGCCGACCCATGCATGGCACCCACCCCCTGCTTTCATGCTAACTGCGCGGTCCGTGCGCAGATATGGATCCAGACCTTGATCAGATGATCTGACCCCAGGGATCTGCATCCAGGAATCTGGGTCCTGAACGCAACCTGGTTCCATGGATATGGGTCCGCGCGAAGATCTGGATCCAGATCTCGCCATGCCCGTTGAATCGCGCTCCAGGCGCTCGCCGCGGGGCAGGGACCCCCTCGAAACTGGCGCGCCGACCTCGCCCGCGCCCGGGGATGACCTCCAATCCTGTCCCGCCAGGTCTCCGCAAATCTATTTGACATATATACGAAATATATACGACTTCTATACGATGCATGTTGTGCAGCAAAAAGTGAGTTTTTCATATATATATATATATATATATATATATATATGTGGTTTTCGAACATATATACGGTGTTATTGTTGTTCAAATATATACGACATATATACGCAATTTATACGGCAGGTTCCGGCTCCCGGACTCCGGCTTTTGCAGGATTTCTGAGAATTCCAAGAAATTTCTGCGTTGTTTGTTTCTTTTTTTGAATTTCGCTCTCAGACACGCTGCCTAAACATGATTCCCGTGTCCAGAGCGGCTCCCAGGAACAATTCCCTCGCGCGATCGCTGGAGCGCGGGTCGAGCTCCCGCCGCGGCTGGATAAGAGGAGGGAGGAGGAGGAGCGAGGATGGAGGGGGATGAGGGGGGAGGAGGAGGGGGGGGGGGGAGGAGGGGAGGGAGGGGGGGAGAGGGCTGGATCCATGTTCGGGCTGGATCCACATTCAAGCTGGATACAGTTCTGGCTGGATCCACTTCCTAGTTGGATCCGCGTTCTAGCTGGATCCACGTCCTAGCTGGATCATTTTTCCAACCGAGGGCAAGTTCGACCTTCGTTATGCTAGCAGGGGAGGGTGCCATAAAGCAACTGCCGCGTTACCTGTAAGCTTGCCGACGCGGCCAGCGAGCTTTCTGGATTGAATGAGGGATGGGGCAGTCTGACATGTCGACCCCCTCCCCTCTCCCTCACATCGCCCCCTATTTCGAAGCCCCATCCCCCATGCAATCTCGAAAGCACAATGGATGCCTAATCGGAGTCAGACTCCTGCTTGGCAGCCTTCTTCCTACCCCCCTTCTTCGCATCTTTCTTTTGCTTCGCGCTGGTGCCGCTCTCCTTGTCCTTTGTTGCCTGCTCCTCCTGCTGCAGCCTCCTCTGCTCATCATCCCTCGCCATCTTCCGGTTCATCAGGATGCGAATCTCGGACGACAGGGTCTTCACGCTCGCGGTCAGCGCGCCGTTCGCCAGCTGGATCTCGGCGTCGCATGTCTTGGAACTCACCTGGCGTCGCGCTCACGTCGGAACGGTGGCGCTAAACTCGCACCGTGAATCCCACTATCCACGTCCCTCGTCGCCATCCGAATCGTCGAAAAGTCGGACGATCGCAAGTCGCCTCACTGACACTCGAAACTCTACTCACAACAAAACAAACAATGAACGATACATAGCATGAACATCAATAGTGGACACGCGAGCTGCTAGACAGGTGCAATCGCAAATCGGAGAGCCCCAACCTGCTTCTTGTACTTCGCGACATCGATCGTCATCAGCGACGAGAGGTTGTGCTCCTGGCACTTGTCGGCCACCTGACGGGCTGGGATCGGCATTGCCCCCTCCCCGCCTCCCAGCGTATACACGCTCGTCCTCCGTGACTGCATCACCTCTCATACCTCTCCGTGACTGCATCACCTCTCATACTTCGCATACCTCCTCTCAGCACCTCTCATACCTCCTCTCTCACCTCTCAACCCCGCCCCGCGTCGCCTCTTTCATGGCAGCGTCCATGCTCTCGCGCATCCTCTCCACGCCCTTCCATCCCGCATCGAGCTTGATGAGCCCGTCGAGCTTGGTGCGCTGCGCCATACACCAATCATAGCTGTCCTTCAGCTTCTTGAAGTTGGCCACAAACGCAGGCGTAGTCTTCTGTTTCTTGGCGTCGGGCGCCACAGGCGGAGGATCATCCTTGGCATCGCCACCCTTCTTTTTTTCTTATTTTTTTCTCTTTCGTTCCATCTGTCGTCACCTCCTCCTCAACCTTCTTGCGCTTCCTACCCTCCTCCGCAGGGGCCTCCGTCTCGTTTTTCTCCTTCTTTTCCTTGTACTTTTTCTCGGTCTTTTCCTTTTCATCAGACTTGTCGTGTTTATCGTTCTTATCCTTCTTCTCGTCCGTCTCGCCCTTGGCAGGCTCCTCCCTTGCCGCGTCGCCGCCGCCTCCCGCAGCCCGCGCCGCGCGAGCGTCTGCCTCCTCGACGGTCGCCGCACTTGGGCACACCCACTCCCTGCGTTTAATCCACTGCTTCTTGAAGGACTCGATGAGCTGATGGCGGACGTGCAGGTGCTCCACAGCCTCTGCCATGTCGTCCCAGCGGGTCCAGATCCCACCGAGCAGCATCGCGTTCGACGCGTGCTTCAGCGCCAGGCGGAGGCCAGAGGTACCGCCACCTTTCAGCCACGCCAGCCTCATCAGCGCGACGTACTCTCCCTTCTTCTTGTCCTCTTTCTCGTTCGATTCCACGAGGAGGTGCTTCACGGTCTCCTTCCATTCCTTGTGCTTGCCCTGCAGCCACTCTTTCCTGAACCTTCGCTGGTTCATCCAGCCCTTCTCCTTCGCGTAATCCTTCCTCAGCTCTTCCGACGCGTCCAGGGCGCGCCTCCAACGCCCCGACGCGGCGTTCCCTGCCTTGGTCTCTGTGCTGAACATGTAGTTATTCTTCTCCATCTCCTCGTAGAAAGCCTTCTCCAGCTTGTCCTTCTCGCTGAGGCCATCCAAGTCGTTCGAATGCTGGACGTCGTCGTCGACGAAGTTCGGGTCGGCCTTCTTCAACGCCGTCAACTTCTGCACGAGCCCTGCTTGGAAGAATTGGCTCAGCCTTACGTTCATATTTTCCAGGGTGCGCTCGTCTGGGTTGGGATGGCCCTGCAGCTCGTCATTGATGGCCCCAATCTCAGTGTCGACGGCCTGGATGAGTTCCTCCTTGCTCTCGGGATGGGGGTTCGAGAACAGCGGGGTGGCCTTCCCGATCGGCTCGCGCTGGTTAGCGATGATGCCCATCGAGCGGTGCCCCCCGATGGGCGCTGACACCGATGACGAGGCTACCGAGGCTGGCGCGGGAAGCCCCTCTTCAGCGACACACGCCGTATCGCTCCACGGCGGGCTCGCTGGCTGAGGGCTCGAGCGCCTCGTCTCGTCCTGGGCGAAATGCGAATGCGAATGCGCGAATGAGAACGCGCGAAACACGCGAATGCGCGAAGCATGCCCCCAGCTGCTCACACCAACCTCTCATATGCACTGCAACCTGCTGACTAAACGCTACGCGTGCATACGACGTATCATCGCAACTTCTACGCAATTTCTACGCGTAGAAATTGCGTAGAAAAGTGTGTATAGGTTAGGTTCCACTGTTCTCATACTATTCCAGCCGAGCCGTCCCTCCACCACTCAGTGCTAGCCCCGTCCCCGCGGTTTTGGTTGTCCCTGCCTGTCCTTATCCTTCTGTATAGCTTGCAGTACCCTGTCCTGCTCCTCCCTCAGCGACTGAATGCTCATCGATTTCGCCTTCCGCACGGGGATGTGTCGCATAGATAACAACGCTAGGGGATGAGAGTGCAGGAGAGGATCGCCGGCGAGATATTTTGGGCTTGGACGGGGGTTGGAGCTAGGGGAAGACGCATGGACAAAGCGACGCGGGCCTCGGCAGTCATCTGCGCCAAGGGCTCGTCATCGGAGTCTGGGTCCATGGCGGTTGATGGACGCTCGTAGCTGACGTCGATCGCCCCCTTACCCTCCCTTGCCTTCTTTGCCACCTCTGCCTCCTCTGCCTTCTTAGCCTCCCCTGCCGCCTTTGCCTCCTGTGCCCCCTGTGCCTCAATTGCCCTCGCCTCACTGGGCTGACCGACTGGGCCTCCCCCGAGGCCTTCCTGATCAAACATCTCGTCGAACCCTGCCTGCACCCATGCTGCGCCTGGTGAGTTCCCAGGGGCTGGGCGGCGGTGCTCACTGGAGGTGGGGCTGCTAGCTGTCGAGCTTCCTGGGCTGGACGTCTTGGTTCCACGGCGGCGCCTCGGCGGCGTGAGCAACGCCTGGCGGGCCCGCGCTCCCTTCCCCCCCCGCCTCTCCCCAAACGCCCACAAGCCCTGCCCCAGAAGCTGCGCATCCTGCCCCTCCCTCCGCGGTCCCGCTCTCGAGCGGCTGTCGGAACCCCTCGAGCCCCTCCCTCCCAGCTGCCCCTCCCTCCCTCCGATCCCTCCCCCCCTCCTGCCCCTCCCTCCCTGTCGGCTGCCCGACACCTCCCCCGAGCGGCGGGCGGGCGAAGCAGCGCGGGGCGCCGCCTTCATCGGCGCCATGCGGATGCACGCGCGGATGTCGCGAAACTTTGGTGCAGGGCGATCAGCCTTTACCATGCGGCCCCGCCGCGCGGGCACCTGGGGGCCCACCTGGGGCTCGTCGGCTGAGCGGTCGACCCTCGCTCCCCCCTCCCCTGATCTGCCCCGAGCCCGCGTTCAACCTCCATGTCCCTGCCCCTCCTGCCCCCCCCCTGCGCCTCCTGCTCCTCCTGCTCATGATCATGTTGCTGCTGCTGCTCGATCTTCGATCGGAAAGTCCTGCCGCTGCTGCTGCTCCTGCTCCTGCTGATCGTCGGACTGCACTACCAGTCAAAATAGTGTTGCTCTCTCTCTCTCTCTCTCTCTCTCTCTCTCTCTCTCTCTCTCTCTCTCTTTCCCTCCGTCGGTTGCTCCTCACCCCCCCTTCCCCTCATCATTTTCCCCTGCTTCGCACCCCGCCCCTACTGATACACCTGCTCTTCATACGACCATTCTGCTCATCATGATCCCGCGCTCACTCTAACCCCGCATCATGGCAACAACCATGCAAGCAAAGAAGACTGGGGGGAGGTGCACGCACGCACGTTTCTTTGCTCAGCCGATGCAGGCAGCGAGTTACTTACGCTCGCCTGCGTCCCTGAGCATCCTCTATGGAACGTCGAGGGCTCGCCCTCGCCTCACGCCTCAGGCCTCTTCTCCTCCTCGCCTCTGGTCTCCTCTTCTCCTCGCCTCTGGCCTTCTGCCCTCCTCGCCTCTGGCCGCTCATCCTCAGGCTGGCCCCAGCCTCCCTCGCGAGCTACCCGAGCCCGATGCCCATGTCGAGCCCGTCCGAACTGGCATCGCTGCTCGGCGCCGTCTTCCTCTCGCGCCTGCCCATCTCTGGGCTGGAGCTGGCGGCCCTCTTCGAACCCTTGCTCGGCTTCGAACCCTTACTCGGCTCCGCAGTTTTCGGCCCTTTATCCTTCTTATCCTTGTTCTCCTTCTTCTCCTTAGTTTCCTTCGTATCATTCTTCTCCTTCTTACCCTTTTTCTTTTCTTCTGCAGCATTGCCCGCCTTCTCCGCTTTGCCTTCACCGCCGCTTGGCTGCGTGCTCGAAGGTGGTTCTGACTTCTCAGGCTTCTCAGGCTTCTCAGGCTTCGCTTTCGCTTTACCTTTCGCCGACGGCTTCGCTTTCCCTTTACCTTTCGCCTTCGCTTTCCCTTTCGCTTTCGGCTGGGCCTCGTCATCTTTCATCGCCTCGGCCCCTGGCACTTCGCTATTACTCGATGCGGATTTGTGGCAGGCTTGGTCGTCGTCATCATCATCATCGGGTGAGGCTGCGCAACCGTCCTCCTTATCTTCCTCGTCCTCATCCTCGTCTTCCTCATCAGCGTCACTCTTCTCTGCCTCCGCAGCGGCCTCGCGCCCGCCCTGATCCTCGTCCTCAGCTGCGCCACCGGTCGTCGCGACAGCTGGCCTTTTCCGCGCCGCCGCAGGCCTCTTCAGCGCGATGCCACTCTCGCCTCCCTGGCTCTTAATGTACTCCTGCTTGCTGAGCTCGAACGCTTCCTTGTCGGAATCCTTGGTGTATTTCTTCGCCAGCTCGATCACTTTCTCGTCTGGGCGCTCGTAGCGTTCCTTAATGGCCAGCTCACTGACCATGGACTTTCTCTCCTGGCCCTCACGCTTGATCCACACGGCGCAAAACCACCTCCTCAAAGCGCCAGCCTCCACGGGCGCCCTCGAATATTTTGACACCGACAGCAGGCCATATTTGGTACTGCTCTGCCATAGGTCGCCGCTGCCAGCGCCGCCCTTCTTGGCTTTGACCTGCTCGCGGTAAGTCTCCACCGCGAAGCCTGGCACGCGCCGCGTGGCCTTGTCAGGCCACTGAAACTCGATCTCGTCGCTCTTGCCACCATTGTCGGCGTTCGTCGGCGCGCCGTACTCTGGCGCAGTCTTCTTCTTCGGCGGGCCCCTGGCGCGGTAAGCCGCCCCGCACCCCCCCGCGGTAATGGGGGAGGGGGGGCGTGGGAGGAGGGCGGGCTCAGCGGCAGCAGCAACAGAGGCGATGCTGTCGGGGTTGGATAGTGATTGGGCGGAGTGGGGCGGGCGGCGCGATGGCGAGGGCGGCGGCGTGCTCACCGCTGCGATGCCCTACGCGGTTGTGGCATTGGCCCTCATGCCAACCGACTCTCCACGCATTGTCACCCCCTCGCCCGATACCGACAACATCGCTCTACACATGCACCCCTCCCCGCCAGTGCTCCGACGTCCCAGTGGTACTCCCACTCGTCATGAGCGGCGCCAGCCTTTGCTTTCGCCTCCTGGCGGGCGCTGTGGCGGGGGGTGGCGGCGACGCGAGACCGATCGACACGGCCGACCGACGACTGAACTTCTACGCAATTTCTACGCGTAGAAATTGCGCAGAGATCACGACGCACCATTCTGCAATGTCACGAAGTGTGCTATTCTGCTCCGCCCCCGAAAGCTCTGCACTATCGCGCGTCGCGACCCGTTGCCCCTGCGGCGCTGTCCTTGACCACCTCTGGGAAGTGGTCCGCCAGCCAGTCGTACGGCGCGCGGTCCCTGGGAACGGGGCGGTGGGGAGGGGCGCGCATCGTGCTATCCTTCATCCTGCTATCCCTCCCCGCCCTGCTATCCCTCATCCTGACATGCCGCATCCTGCTGTCACCCATCCCTCCTCATCCTGCTATCCCTCATTATCATGCGGGATCATCGTCATGACACCCCTCGTCCTGCTATCCCTCCTCGCCCGCACGGCAAAGCAAAACTGTGTCCTCGCTTTGATGGCAGCCTGGCTCACCACGCGCAGCATCGCCCTGATCCAACGCCTCCTCACCATGGGGGGGCCGATGCAATGCCATCTTGCCCCCCTCTCTCGTTCTCTCTCACGCTTTTTGTTTTCTCTCTCTCTCTCTCTCTCTCTCTCTCTCTCTCTATATATATATATATATATATTTATGTGTTTTTTTTCTCTCTCTCTCTCTCTCTCTCTCTCTCTCTCTCTCTCTCTCTCTCTCTCTCTCTCTCTCTCTTCTCTCTCTCTCTTTTTTCTCTCTCTCTCTCTCTCTCTCTCTCTCTCTCTCTCTCTCTCTCTCTCTCTCTCTCTCTCTCTCTCTCTCTCTCTCTCTCTCTCTCTCTCTCTCTCTCTCTCTCTCTCTCTCTCTCTCTCTCTCTCTCTCTCTCTCTCCCTCTCCATCTCTCTCTGCCTATATACGCCCCCCTCGCCACTCCCCTATCACCGCCCCATCTTACCTGCCCCCCATCCCCCCGCCGTTCTATGTTATATGGGGTCGGGCGGTGGTGGCGACAGCCCCGCGGTATCTTCGTCGCCGTCTGCTCGGCCCAACTCTCGGCCGTGCCGTCCAGCTGCCACGGCGCCTCCTTCGTGGCCGCGTGGGCCTGAAGGCGCGCCCGCAACTGCCCCTGGTCGAGCGTGTCGCGCGGCGCGAGGATCTCCCTCAGGGCCTTCAGCAGGCCAACGTGCTCGACCACGCCATCACTGGTGCTGCCGTCCTGGCGGGCGCGTCGCCGAAGGTGCAACTTCTACGCAATTTCTGCGCCATTTATGCGCGTAGAAATTGCGTGGAAATTGCATATTCGGTCACGGTGGACCGAGGGCGCCCACCCAGCCACATCCTCCAACGCCTCCCTCGTTCTTCCGCACATCTTCCACCTGCAATCCACACTCCAATCGACCCCGATCCCATCCCCATCCCTTCCTCATCCCACCCCCTCGATCGAATCGGTTCGCCCCCCCCCCCCCCCACGTGTCCGTGTCGGGGCACACGGTCTCGGAGCTCTTGATGTGTTTCTTGAAACACGCCGCGAACTGCGCATGTGACGCCTCCCCGAGCTCCACA